AAGCATTTTAATATTTAATGTGTAAAAAACATTAAAACTATTCCTCATGTCATGAGTCAGGCTTTAAACTTTTAATTACTGCATTTCTGGAACTATTAATGAAAATACTCTACTCCAAATGTACTAATTTTAAGAAAGTTACACATAAAAACCAAGAGTATACATATGACAACCAAATACTATAATGCTTCATTCAATTTTCCTTAAAATACGCCTACATTTTGTAGTTTAATATATCAGTCTGCAGTTTTTATAAGTAAAATAATTTTAAACTCTAGGTGGCATTCTTCTACAAGCTTGCAGGAGGAAAATTAAACATTGAAAACCAAGCTTTTCTTATTATCAATAATTCTATTAAAATTATAAATTAAAAAACGAATCCACCAGCATTTGAGATTGGCGAATAGAAAAATAAATACAAATTTAAAGCTTTTAAGCTAAATTAGGACATAACTAAAACCCTTAAACTGTTTCATTAATAAGTCTTTTCAGAATAGTCAATACTCCCTTTTAAGATTAAAACAAACTATTAAGAAAATCTCATTTAGAACAATAAGCTAGTTAGCAATACCCACCCAGAAGTAAAAAGAAAATATTGTATTTAACTATTTTTACATTTTTAACTTTCGTATTTTAAAAAACTCCTTTCAGCAAAACTCTAAAAAAAAGAAAAAAAAAATCATCTTTCTTATATATACAAGACTGTATTTGTGCAGCCACCATTTTCAAATACATGTATTTCATTGCCCTTCACATTTGAAACAACTCTGAATACATATAGAGACAACAATATGAAATCTTTCAGGTGATTATCAGATACACTAACTAAAGCCAGTCACAGCCACAGGGCCTGTTTCTAAGTGCAGTTCTGACTCTTAGGTGCCACTGGAGAAACATCTATTTGTTTGGCACTGTGCCTATTTCCCAACTGCTATTAGTTTTCTTAATATCGTATATATTAGCAATACTTTTTAGTAAGGCATTTTTATACACTCATATGTTTCTTAACAATGGGAGTATGTTCTGACAAATGCATTGTCAGGCAATGTTGTCATTATACAAACATGACAGTTTACACAAACCTAAATGGTATAGTCTACTACACACCTAGGTTATATGGCATCATCTATTGCTTCCACGCTACAAACCTGTACAACATGTTACTGCACTGAACAGTATAGACATTTGTAACACAAGAGTATTTGTGAATCTAAATACATCTGAACATAGAAAAATTATGGTAAAATATAGTATAAATATATATTTTTAAATGGTACACCTGCACTTACTATGAATGGAGCGTTCAAAACTAAAAATTGCTTTGGGTAAGCCACTGAGTGAGTGGTGAATGAATGTGAAGGCCTAGGACATTACTATACTTTGCTATAGACTTCATAAACATTGTACATTTCATATGCCAAAATTATCATTTTATTACTCTTTACAAAAATAAATTTACAAGACCAGCAGTTGGCATAATGGCTATGTTGTTGGACTCCCATGTAGCTGACTGCGGTTTGAGTTTTGCACTCAATGGCTTAAACTCACACCAGGGATGACGAGAATGGAGAAGGGATTGCGTTGTGGCCACCCCTCCTGGGGGGTAATTTCTCACTTTGTTTTTCTGGCGAGCGCATGTGCCCTATAGCAAAAGCCTCTCCAATAAATAAATACATAAATAAATAAATACATAAATAAATAAATAAAAATAAACATGCATACTTTACTTCATAAACTTTCTTTTTTACCTTTCTGACTCTTTCATAATAACTTAGCTTAAAACACAAACACACTGAATAGCTATATATTTTCTTTCTTTATATCCTTAAGATTTTTTATGTAGTGTTTTACTATATACCTTATTTAGAAGATTTTTCACTTATTTCTTTCATGAGTGAGAAAGAAAGAGACAGAGACAGAGAGCACCCCAAACAGGGTTTTGACAAAGGAATCAACCAGTCTCAGCCAACCTAGGATGAGCACATGTATATCTGAGGTACTCAGGGAGCTCTGGATTTCAACCTATAACCTTCCCATGTGTGTCAGCCTCACAGAACACTGAATTTCACTGCTATACCATCTGTTCCAACCAAGGTAGTATGCACTGCTTAACACTTCTATTCAGCAGGCTGAGGCCACATAGAAGGCCTGGGTTCAATTTCTGGCACACTCTAAAAGCCAGGGTTATGTATGTGAACCTAGCTATTGGGAAGGCTGAGGCAGGAGGATCCGGACACAGTGAGGAACTGTCTTTAACAGCAACAAAAAAGAGATATACGTTAGCCTAGGCCTACATAGGAGCAAGATCAATAGTATCACTGTCTCCCACCCTCACTTCTTGTCCCACTGTAAGGGGACAAGATAACAAAGTGTGTGATTAAATCAAACAAAGGAGAAAATAATGCAGTCAAGAGATGCAGTAAATATGAAATGAGGAGGTTCCTGACAGCATAATACACTGTTCTATAGTAAATATTTCTTAAGGAGGACACTCTAATGATAAATAATAAATAAAAGAGCAACATAATCATTTATTATTATCAAGTGTTACATATGGCACAAAATGGTATGTGCTATAAGACTGGAAGAACAGTAGGTTCGTCATCACCAGCATCATCACAAACATGAGTAATGAAAGCACTGTTCTACGATGTGGCAATGTCACAGGGTAATAGGAATTTTCCAGCCTCATTACAGTCTTATAGACCAACATCATTGATTACTCTGAGTTGCCATTTCAAGAGTTGTCATTTGAGTCCAACTCTTGAAATTACTGACTATAGTTACCACCCTGGAGACCTCCATTTTATTTTAAATAGATGTGATATTGACAGTACACATTGTTATCTATGGTTTTCAAAAGATGAGATACATCTCCCTTTTCACATAATTACCACCCAAGTTTTCAGGTAATATTTAGGTTGCCAAGAAAGCAGATGAATTCATAATTAAAAGAAATTCTTACATCACTCAAGTTAGTTGAGCATGCATAAGCTCAGATTCCTTTATTTGGAAAAGTTCATCATTACTTGGGTACAATAGATTTTTTCCCTAGTAGTGACTTATTTGCAAGATTAATGTCTCCAAATTTATCGTTGGTGGCAGTAGTTTGTTGAGATAGAGGAATTTTTCAAGGATCTAAGGACTTGAAAATGAAATGTATACTTTTGCAATGTTTTCTTATATTCAGCTGAGATGTAACTGACCCTAACTGAAATTCATTCATTTGTAGCTAAAAGTGGTATGCTGTAATATGCTTCTAATCTAATTCTTCTGAGCATTTAAATCTTTCTAATTCAGGTTTTTTTGTTTGTTTGTTTGTTTGTTTTATGTTAAGAAACAATAAGTATGTCTTGATATTATGCCAGCTTTCTCCTATGCTCACTGTAGTACAAAGTTCTTACCTTCTGGGACCAGCAGATGGTGTAATGGTAACATCACTGGACTCCCATGTAGCTAACCACAGTTCAAGTTCTGGACCCGGCCATTTAAACATGCTGGGCACATGTGCATGCATGCTCAAGATCTCAAGAGAAGAATGGAGAAGGAACTGCAGTGTGGCCATTCCCTTGGGGGGCGATTTCTCACTTTCTGTCTCTCTGGCAAGCACATGTATCCTACAGCAAAAATCTCTATCTAAAAAAAAAAGTTCTTTCTATACCTCATTATGGTTATTACAACTAGGGACAAAAATAAGTATAAAATGTATAGGAATATACTTCCATATATTTGTATATATGTGTAACTATAGATACAAATTCATCTTGTTGAAAGACTTTTAACTCATCTTTATATTCTGTTAAAAAATCTAAGTTAAAAAAAAAAAGCTGTTGAGGGCAACTAAAATAAATCCAATGAATTCAACTTGACTTCGAGATAGAAAATAACAGTAATAATTCTGTGTACTAAATTTTAAATTACAAACAGAAAAATATTCCATCCAATATATACAATAAGCATTATGCCCCAGTTCTTCATTATGGCATCTGGGGAAAATAGAACTACAGAAAAAAAAAAAATAGAATGGAAAATGAGAGGAAAGATATGAAATAGAAGAGGGAATCATTAAAAGAACACCACATTGCAATGCAAGAAACAAAGGAAATAACATAAAGATTTCTACAGAATCATTCTTCTACTGTTTTCAAATAAACTTAATCTAGTACACCAATGTTCCTCAAATTTTAGTGGGCCTCAGGAATACCTGACAAGTTTGTTAAAACACAAATTGCTGGGATCCACCTTGTTTTTCATTTAGCAGATTTAGGATGGACCCTCAAAATTTGCATTTCTAACAAGTTCCCAAGTGACATTTGAAAACTATTAACTAGACTTTCTATAGAAAATTAATCTGCCTTGTCATGTGCAATATTCTTAAGAGGTGGAGAAAATTCTGGGGCTACTAAAAATGGCTTCAGCTTACATTTTTCAAAATAGCCAAGCTGCTCAATATTTAGGATACACAGGGTCTTCAAAAAGTTCATGGGAAAAACTACCATGGGTTTCAAAATTTTTTGCATCAAAATACTCATATTTTAACTCCATTGTCCATGAACCTTTTGTATCCCAACAGTATGACCTCCTTGACACTATTATCACATTGTTCATAATATATGGACCAGAGATCTTGGAAATGAAGTGATTTTCTGATTACAATTTCTTTTACCAGGAAACTAAGCAAAGAGGTAGAGTTAAGCTATTTCTGGAGGTTTCTTAAATAAATTATATCAAAATGTGCACAGCACTTTTCTTTTTATTCATTCAAATATGCACTATTTACAAGCATCACACTAGAAACTGAGACAACCATGGATGAAAATATAGGGTCTAGTTTTCCATGCTGGTGTAAGTCTTTTCCTTCTTTATTCCATTTCATTGATCTCTATCACTCTGCCAAAAGACACACGACAGGTACCAATACCACACTGTTCTGATTACCTATCTATGTCTGTATTCCAATCTTAGAAAAAATGTATTCAGTCTTTAAGTTTTTGTAGATGTTCTCTAAACTGAAGAAGCTTCTTTTGAGATTTTGTTGGAAAATCAGGTAAATTCTGTCAAATATTCTTTTTGTATCAACTGCTATCAGACTATTTATTTTTTCATTTTCTTGGTATGATGGATTACTTAACTGATTTTCAAATACTGAATCAACCTTGCACTTCTGGAATAAATTTAACATGGTCACATTGTATTATTCTTCATATATATGTAATTTGCTAAGATTTTGTGTTTAAGCTCATCAAAGTATTGGCCTGAGGGTCTTTTTTCTCGTAATGTCTTTTTCTTGTTTTCTAATTTTGGTATCAGGGTAATGGTGTTCTCATACAAGATGAAGGTGATTCCTTCCTGTTGTATTTTCTGGAAGAGACTGTACAGAATTTGTGTTATTTTAAAAATATTTTCCAGTTTTTAATAAAGTTACCATGTATTTATCATGCAACCCAGCAACCACACTTCAGTTATTTATTCTAGAAAAATAAAAATTTTACATTCATACAAAACTCACTGTACAAATGCTCACAGCTTTATTTGCAGCAAGCAAAAATTGGAAAAAAAAAAAAACTTTTTTGTCCTTCCACAGTAAGTGGATTAGCAGATTGTGGTTTCAATCAACTGAATACTATTTTGCAATAAAAAGGGACAAATATTTACATGAACAACACTGAAGATCTAAAGAACAATATGCTAAGTCAGCCTCAACGAGTTACATACTTTATGGTGTATATAACATTCTTAGTGAAAAATAGAGACATCAGTGGATGACAGGCATCAGGGTTAGATGAGGGCATAAATACTTAAAAAAAAAAAAAAACAGCAAGAGGGAGCTTCTTTATAGTGATGAAACATTCTGTACCTCTGGTGATAGTGACATGATTCTAGACACACAATATTTCATAAAAAGTAAAAAAAGTCATTTAAAACTTGTAAAATCTGAAAAGGTGTGTAACTGAATAGTATTGTGTGGCCTGCCCCCCAGGGGGTGATTTATCGCTTTCTCTCTGTCTCTGAGGCAAGTGCACATGCCCTATAGCAAAAATCTCTCTTAAAATGTAAACAAAACAAAACAAAACAAAACAAAAAAAACAAAACCCTCTCAAATAAATGTATAATGCAGTGTAAAGTGGATGGTACATAGCCATGGTTTAAAAACCCAAGAATATCCATGAGGTTGGTGATGTAGAACTTAATTATTTCACAGAAACAATAGAGGAAAAAAATGCCAGACTGGAGCAATTTAAAGAATGGGGTGTGAAAAATGGATACGAGTTTACACAACTGAAGAAATCGTGATAAAAAAAGAAAAATGGGTTAGTAGAGGGAGAGGAAGTGTAGAAATAAGATATTTTAAAAAGAGGTAATGACTTGAGCATTCAGTATTCAAAGGAAGAATCTAATCAACAGGTAAGGGGCCAGCAGGTGGTATGATGGTTAAGGTGCTGAGCTCCCACGTGACTGACCACAGTTCAAGTCCCAAATCTGGAGACTTGCTTTCTTTTTCTCTCTCGTGAACGCACATGCCCTATATATAGCAAATTTAAAAATAAATTAATGAAATTAAATAATTCTTTAAAAAAAAGAATACAGTTGAAATGAAAAAGAGAGAATGCAGACTAGTAAGGACAGCGTAAAAAGAAAGGATGATGTGAAGTTTTGGAAGTAGGATGCTCTGTGGTAGAAAGCAGCAGCAAATCCATGAAACTGAAGTATGGCTAAAAAGAAAAAGAGGGTTATAGTGGTAGCTACTGAAAAAGGTAGGCCTATTCTTCTACTCTAAAAGGAAAGAAAGAGGTGAAATTGGATATAAAAATATCTGATATTGGGTTATTTATCTGATGACTTCTTTCCTCTGTGAAACACTAAGCGGTTATTAGTTTATTAGGGCTGCCATAAAAGTTGCACAGACTGAGTATCTTAAATAACAATAATTTATTTCCTTACAATTCTAGAGGCCAAAAGTCTGAAACCAAGATGTCAGCCTGAAAGGTTTATTCTGAGGACTCCACCCTTGGCTTAAAATGATCATCTTCTGAGTCTTCACGTGGTCTTTCCTCTGTGTCTTTACTTAAATCTTCTTCTTATAAGGACACCAGTTATACTAGATTAGGACCCACGCTAATGACCTCATTTTAGCTTAATTACCTCTTCAGTGACTCTATCTGATGACATTCTTAGGTGCTGGGGTTAGGACTTCAACATAAGAATTCTGGGAGAACAAAATTCCAGCCCCAAACAAGAGGCTATCTGCCAAGAGAAGGGATATAGAGCACATCAGAGGTTCAATCTGAAAAAGGTTTGAAATAGTTTTAAATATTTTGAAATGACTCTTGACTGTGGTATTGACTATAAATAAAATCTTAAGTAATTTAGTTTAAATTTTATTTAAATTAATATAGAAATGACTTTATTATTCAAGTAAAATAATGCCTTACAAGTCAGGAAAATAGAATTTTAATCTGTGATATGCTAACATGCTTTAACATCTTGCATATTTCTAGCTCTCATTTTTGTCACAGGAAAGACATATGTATAAAAGAAAACTAGGAAGAGAACTGACTTGAGAACCCCATATATCCTGGTCCTAGCCCCTGCTATGTCACAGAGGACATTAATTTTTCTGAACCTAAGATTCCCCACCTTAAAATTGAGTACTATTATCTCCAAAGTCCCTTCTAAAATCATATAATCCTATGAAATGAAATAACCTGAAGTTCTTTGAGAGTAAGTAGGTTGTGGTAATAGAAAAAAAAGATCCTTTAAACTATTTGCCAATAAAAAGATGAACTGTAGGCTTGTTTCATACTGAAATATGGGGTCTTCTATTTTTTTTTTTGCTATAACCTATTTCCAAGTCAATATTATTCACATGGTAAATGCTGTGTAAACAGACCTTTTACTTCACTCTGTTGGCTCATAATCCTAGGTGTAAGCTAAAATAAGTTTTTACTTCTTTTATTATATGTAAGTATTTACTTGCTCTAAACACAGATGTCTAAAAAAGGTTTTGCATGTTGAAAAAAGTTAAATGGTAAGATATATTAACAACATACACAATTAAACCACAGAACCAAATACAGTGTCTTAAATAATCAGGTGTTTATATTTTCCCATGTAGTAATAAGTACAGATGTTGGCAATAGCTGATGTTAGTTCCAACACTCAACAATGCCATCAAGGACACAGGCTCCTTCTAATCCATTGTTTTCAGTTCCATCTTTGGAATGAACTTTCATTCTCATATTTGCTGTTTCATGGCTGCATTAAGGCTGTTGCTGCACCTCTGGCGTCTTGTTGGCATTCATGGCCAGAAGGAGGAAAAAGATGTAAAAGCACCACCTTATAAAGCTTTGACTTTTTAATTTGAAAAGAAGGCCCCTCCCAGTAGCCTAATTAAGTCACAGCCCCACACCTTAGATATATATTGTCTGATGATCACTATCAGTCATATGTGACTATTTAGTTTTTAAAAATTGAAGTAAATAGTAATCTAGTGACTGATGGAGAGAACGTTAGGAGAAAAGGTGGCCGGACAATGTGTAGGCACTGTTTTTTTTTTGGAGAGGTTTTTGCTATAGGGCACGTGCGCTCGCCAGATAGACAGAGACATAGAGACAGAAAGTGAGAAATCACCCCCCAGGAGGAATGGTCACGCCACAAGCCCTTCTCCATTCTCCTCGCGGAATCTTGGGCACGCACGCACATGCGCCCGGCGTGAGTTCCAAGCCACCGGGTCAGGGATGCGAACCATGGTCGACTACATGGGAGTCCAGCGACATAGCCATTACGCTAACTGCTGGTTCCCTGTTTTGTTTTTATAGCACTTATAAATTTGAAAAGGCTGATCATATTGAAAATATAATTTTTTTTTTTTTTTTTGGAGAGGTTTTTGCTATAGGGCACGTGCGCTCGCCAGATAGACAGAGACAGAGAGACAGAAAGCAAGAAATCACCCCCCGGGGGGATGGCCATGCTGCAATCCCTTCTCCATTCTACTCTCGGGATCTTGGTCACACACGCACACACACCCGTGAGTTTTAAGCCACTGGGTCCAGGATGTGAACCACTGTTGACTACGTGGGAGTCCAGCAACATAGCCATTATGCTAACTGCTGGTCACGAAAATGTAATTTCTCATTTCATATGCAGAAAGAGTGCATTCTCTAACAGGATTAGTGGAGAATTATCTTTATATGGGAAGAGTTATTTTACAGAAGACTGTTAGTCAGCCTCTCATTACTCATGGTAGAATAAAATGAAAAAGAATATAATGCAGAATAATATACTAGCATTAAGAATTATTCAAAAGATTAAAAGAAGCTGCTACTGACAATTTTCTTCCCAAACCATTCCAGATTGTTAATTCCTTCACAATACCCACTTGGCCAGATCCAACAGTAGTGAGTTTAAAGAACTACCTATATATTGTTAAAAAAAAAAATTTAATTTAAATATAATGTATATGTAAATTACAAACTAATGCTAAGTAAGTATTTGCCCTGAATGAACAATTGCCTATGTTAAAAACTGATTTCTGTCTAAATAATGTTTTAACTTTTTTTTTTTTTGGAGATTTTCGCTGTAGGGCGCGTGAGCTCGCCAGACAGAGACAGACAGAGAGACAGAAAGCGAGAAATCACCCCCCAGGGGGGATGGTCACGCCGCAATCCCTTCTCCTCTGTTCTCCTCTCGGGATCTTGGGCACGCACACACACGCGCCCAGCGTGAGTTTTAAGTCACCGGGTCTGGGACATGAACCGCGGTCGACTATGTGGGAGTCCAGTAACATAGCCATTACGCTAACTGCTGGTTCCCAATAGTGTTTTAACTTTTGAAGTCCTTTCTGTTCTATTGAGACATGCAAAATATTGTTGAAGATAGCATAATGATTGTTTTTGAAAAAAGAAAAATAAATTCTAATTATCACTAATGAGGTGACAGGATGTAAGAACTCTAATCATTTTGTTTCTAGACATGGTTTAAATTTTCTCATTTTCCCCCAAAACTAAAAATAATTCAGTCGTTGTAGCTCCTGTAATACCTATTTCCCATGATCCTTAAATATTCTTGTATGTAATTTAAGTCAAAAGGTTCAGGTCCAGCAAGTGGCATGGTAGTTAAGGAGCCTGATCCTACATGGCTGACTCTGCAGTTTAAGTCTTGGACCTGGAGACTTGAAAAGCATGCTGGGTACATGTGCATGTGCATGTGTGCCAAAATCTCAAAAGGAGAATGGAGGAGAAGGGATTGTGGCATGGTCATCTCCCTGGGGTTGATTTCTCACTTTCCCTCTCTCTCTTGCTTTCTCTTTGGCAAATGTCCTATAATTTAAAAAAGAAAAAAACAGAATCAATAAATACAGCTTGTGCAAAGGTTATATTCAAGGGGACCAGCAGTTAGCGTAATGGCTATGTCGCTGGACTCCCATGTAGCCAACCGTGGTTCGCGACCCGGACCCAGTGGCTTGGAACTCATGACGGGTGTGTGTGCGTGCGTGCCCAAGATCCCGAGAGGAGAATGGAGGAGAAGGGACTGCGGCGTGACCATCCCCCCTGGGGGGTGATTTCTCGCT